TTTTTGTTTTTTTTTTCTCATTTTTGAATAGTTAGGAGAAGTTAATGTAGAAATGATGTGTAAAGCTTTAGCTAATCCGGATTTTTTTTTGCATAGTTAATCAAATTTATGGGTTTTTTGTTGTACACTACCAAAGGGCTTGGGGTTGTGTTATATTCATTCATTTTTATTTTTACTCTCCAATGTATTTTTTTTTTTTTTTTCCAAACCATATTATACAGAAAAACCAATAGTCACATAATTTGATCATTCTTTGGAATTTGAAATTATGCAGATTATCAAGAGTGTTAAACACACGGTACCGCATAAATAACATTAACCAATGTAAAAATTTATACTTCCAAGTACATGGCGAAAACCGGTTCCGCACTCGATTCGAGGACAAGGGTTGGACGACACTGAATCGACACGAACGTATGCACGGGTCGGTTTGGTGAACCGGCGGTTTCGGGTCGGTTCAGTAAACTGCCGGTTTCGAGCTGGTCCGGTTTACTAAAAAAATAAAAAATGATAAAAAATTAATAAAACAATTTAAAAAAAGAGTTGAACCCTCTGTTTCGGCTCCATTCGGAACAGGCTCAACAGTTCAAAAAGTATATACACGTAGCCCGAAACAGCCACGGGCTCTGTTCAAGGACCATTGACCATAGACCGGTTCCGGGCCCGTTACTATTTCCAGTAGTTGATACCACTAAGGGTGTAAATGAGCCGAGCTCGAGCAGAGCCTTTAATAAGCCGATTTCAACCCTTAACGAGTCAAATTTGAGTTTTAACGAGCCAAACTATAGAAAATTATATAAAATCATCATTCTTGTCTTATCTAGTCCTGTTAAATTAAACGAGTCTGGCTGAGCTTGGCTCGAGCTCGAGACCTTAACGATTCGAGCTCATTTGAAGCTCGTTTGGGTAATGAATCGAGTTCGGCTCAGCTCGACTCGATAAGAATCGAAAAAAAAAATTATATACTTTCTATAGTTCGGCTTGTTAAAGCTCATCATCGTCTGGTTAATAGTGATAAACGAGCTGAGCTCGAGCTCATTTTTAGCTCGTTTATTTAACGAGTCGAGCTCGACTCAAGTCGTTAAGGGCTCGAGCTCGAGCACCCTAAGCTCGACTCGACTCGTTTACTGGTCTAGCTCTTATCGAGCCAAGACGAGCTCGATTCGCTAACCAAACGAGCTTTAAATGAGGTCGAACTCAGCTTACTTGATGAGCCGAGCTCAAGCCCCAACGAATTGAGCCGAGCCGAGATCACGAGTATCTTGTTTAATATAACAAATATAGATTCCACACAAATTAACCAACATAAAATTAGATAACTTTCTAGTAGTTGGATTGTACATTGTTTTACTTTTGATGGAATACTAGACTGGTTTCACCCGCTTTTGGGTTCATTAGGAGGTAACTCTAGTTTCCTACCATGTTGGTAGGGTTGGCCAAGTTCCCTCTTTAAAGTTAAGTCCTAAGCTCTCGAGATGGTCCCCACATACCGATCGGCATGTCTGAACCTCGAAAGGTATAGAAACCCCACTTTGGTTGGAACATCGACTGTCTATTCTTGTATAGTACTATGAGTTGCCACTTATATATTGTGCATAATATGCGCTCCCATGCGTCTCATGTGCCTATCTTAGATAATCACGCTCAATAAAAGCAACCATGTGACACACACACACACACTCGCACACATACCTATGTGAGTGTGTAATGGTCATATGGTAAAAAAATTTGTGAGGTTCGATATGGTCGATTTTTTTAGAGGGAGTCTAAGTTTTATTACCAAAGGTCATGGGCCAACTTAGGCCCATTAAACTAGTCACATAAATATGGACTTCATGCTGGTCCTGGGCCTTGGAGTGGACTAACTCACTTTCGTGTTAGCCAACATCGACTCCACAAGGCCGGTGGGCCCAAATAACACAAAGCACAAAATTGTGAAAATATGGGCGTGTAAATAAAAGATTTTTAATGAAGCTCTGTAATTACAGCTGTCAAAACGGGCTGG